TCATGGAAGAACTTTGCATTATTAGCAGTAGCAGTCATTGTTTACAAATTCGCACTTTCATATATATATATATATATATATATATATATATATATATATCAAGTGTATATATACCGGATGTAATAGAAAAATTGCCCAAATCGTGTAACAGCATGGGGTAATTGTTTATCCCACATAATGTTTAATATCTAAAAAAATACAAAAAAACAATACTAATTGAGTTCCTTTTGCCCAGGCTTTCAGATAAGACGTTTAGACATCTTGACACCATAAGAATCACTGAAAAACGCTTTGAGTTATTCAGCTAGAAATAGAAAAGGTTCAAATCGTTTTGTCTCAGTCCCACCGTCTTCCCAAATGAGCAATAGTAAGAGCAAAAAAAAAGAAAAAGGAAAAAGGAAGATATTCAGGAATGCAGCATTGGTAACAACATTTATATTCTGGCTTACATCTTCAAAGTCCATTCAAGAACCATAGACAGAACGGTGAATAAGTTTAAAAAAGTGGTAGCAGTAGAGATCAAACTCGATCACAAGGTCAAAACAGCAAGAGTTATCAACATTTCAACTTAGTGCTAAATACATTTCTATTGTTCAAAGTAGAGTCCAATAGTGTTATTCAAACCGCGGAGAATTCTAATAAGACATCTTTAATCATTTCTGAGACACAACGATTCAAAGCTTAATACAACAACTGGGCAAATTTGATATTGCAGCTGCTATATATATATATATATATATATATATATATATATAACATCATCACTTGATAAGACATCAGAGGTGTTGAAACAAAATGGCTATTTTTGTAGTGATTTTATAACATATTTATGTTATAATTTTTGAATAAATAATTATATTCGCACTACTCTGTATTGAGCACTCTTTTAGGAATAGTAATTGTTGGTTATTGGGATTTCTTTCGTATACACCAATCATAGATATATATATATATATATATATATATATATATATATATATATATATATATATATATATATATATATAGATATAAAAACTTCAATATAATCATTTGAATTAAATTGAGTTAAAGTAAGCTCTGTTCCATCTTCAAGCGAAATTTTTTTTTGAATCTTGAAGATGGAACAGAGCTTACTTTAACTCAATTTAATTCAAATAATTATATCGAAGTTTATGTCGCGAGTTGGAATCATACTTTTAAATAAATAATTATATTTATGGTCTACTTTTGTATCGAGCACTATTTTAAAAAAATAATAACTAAAATACTAAGGAACTTTGGATTATGCTGTATTAATATTAATATAAAGTCAATGTCGGAGGTTTCGGTCTATTTTAGACCATCTTCAGGACGTTTTCATTTAAACATAACATTAGAACATATAAAAATTCAACACGAAAAGACGATGGACATAAGAGCACAACAAATCCAACAGATAACTGAAATTTTCATATAAGATCAGCGTTCCGTTTAAATATGATCACGTCGTCATCACGTGGGCGATGTTGTGAAAACGTATTCGAAGATGATTTCCAAATATTAAAATATTAAAAATGTCGATTGAACTATTTTATATAAACAGTTCAAGAAATCCCTTCCGTTGATATAGGAATACGCAGAGATCAATAGGTTCTTATATCTTCATACAAGCTTGAAGTCCTCCACGTTACAAAGCAAATCAAAAATGATTTCAAAATATCAGAACGATGGAACAATTTTAAAAACAGTTCGATAATAAATCCTTTCCTTACTTGATCAATAGATTCTTATATTTTCGTACAAGTCTTCCATGTTATAAAGTAAATTCAGGTTTGTATTTCCAGAAGACAGTATGTAAGCAAATTTATGAACAAATTTTTATATGTTATAATGTTAATTATGTTTAAATGAAAATGTCCTGAAGATGGTCTAAAATAGACCGAAACGTCCGACGTTGACTTTATATTAACATTAATACAGCATAATTGCATATTTTTGTTTGTTTTTTCTGTATATTTTTTTTCTTCATATATATATATATATATATATATATATATATATATATATATATAAACTGAGATATTTTAACCTTGGAAGCGATACAGAATTATTCCTGATATATTTGACGGGTATTGTGCGAATATTGACTTGTAGAATAGATCTCAACTTAGGAGCATCTGTTGCAACAGGGCAAAAGTTTTCCCTTAAAAACTTTGCTGGCCATTGCATATATTCTTCAAGAAGAATTTTTCTCTTTCATAACTGGCTGTTTGGACACTGTATTGGGACAATGCAGATGGGGTTTGAGCCAAGTTTTGCATAACGTTTGTAGTACTGATTTGCATGAAAACAGTAATGCTTGGTTGTTGGTCAATTCATAGCTGATCTGTGACTGGGACTAAGACCACATAAGACAGGCATTTTTTTAAGTGAAAGAGGATTCTTCCAGTTCTTGTTGACGTGAAGTGCAGAAGCTTGGCGGTTTATCAACCGTGGATTTCTTTAATCCTGTCTTTTGCTCAGATGTATTAATATTCAGATCTTTTCAGAACCGTCTTCATGGAAGCGGCCATGCTAGCTCTTTCTCTTTACTATCACTCTTGTTTCATAGAGCGAGGTAGCGACGTTTATACGCATATTATAAACCAGGATATGTCACGCCATGAGTCAATTTCACTGTCATAATTATAGTCTTGCAGGATATTTTTCCATTTTGCTAAACAACACAGCGACAGAGAGTCGGCAGAACGTTCTTACTCGTCATCAACTTTTTCCCGTCCGCTTCCATTTCTACGATTTCTAATGCCATTCTGTCGTCTTTGTCATTTGAATGAACGTCAAATGTTTTTTGTTTTCCATTGACTCGCCACTGATATCAATATATTCTGTCATTTCCGAACATTTGTCATTTCCAATGATATTCATATGCTTTTCATAATATATATATATTTTAGTTGCAGCAATCCTTCTTTTAGCACATTAAAAACGACAGACAAGGAACGCAGCTTTTTATTTAATTTTCTTGTGTTCTGACAAATTGGACAAAGGGTGTAAAACTGTCCAAATGTTTTATATTCCGATCCTTTGCCATAATCAAGGATGGCTTAAAGTGTGTGCATTCTCTGTAAAGACATTAGATAAATTGACTATTTCTCCCCAAAGCAAGTAATAACCAATCAACACACAGCCAAAAATCACATACACATTTATTACAAAAACCAAATGCATATTAATTACAAACAAGACGAAGTTCTAAGGCATATTATAAAGAAATATACACCCTTTGATCCAAAAAATCAAATTTATTATCTATTTTAAAAAATTTTTAAATCCTCAAAATAACAACACACCAGCTAAGTCAAAATTACAAAGAACGAATAATATCTTGAGTCAAATGTCGTTTTTCAAACTGGATCATAAATAAACATGGTTACACAACCACATGCTTATATATATATCCATATATTATATATATATATAGAAAACATAAATATATATATACTAAAAATTGGAAGCTTTAATAATAAAAAAAAGAAAAGCCAACCTTAACAATATTAACTACGAACAAAGCCACAATGTTTGTATTCGGAAATTAAAAACATCCCAAAACCAAGACATACACAGAACGCACACACTCAAAGCTGAAAAATCGAATCATCCTTGATAATGGTAAAGGTAAAGACGAAGAACGGAAATATAAAACATTTGGACAGTTTTTCCTTGTTTTTTATTTGTAATACCTTGTCTGTCGTTTTTAATGAAACATGCATATATATATATATATATATATATATATATATATATATATATATATATATTATACACCCTACATATACGTTTGCATTAACAAAATACCACAAGGAAGGAAACGGTCGGTACAGAACGGTTTTCCGTTTTATTTGTATCGTCTTTACGGATATAATTTATTTATATCTACACACACACACACACACACACACACACACACACACACACATATATATATATATATATATATATATATATATACTGTTTTCTTCATTCCTATTATTTTATTATTTTTTCTTTTTGTAATTCTTTCACACTCTGTAAATCGTTGTGTCGTAGTGGCTTTATTGCCTTGCTCGGTGACGCATCATTTCTTTAATATGATTTCTCCAATATTCAGTCCAGGAGACAAAAATAAATAACTGTAGAAAAAAAAACAAAAAACGAAGCGTCTACTTAAATATGTGCAAATAGCGGTTAATCAGAAAACACATACACACACGCACGAGGTCGACGGCATCGGTTTTACCCCGCAATAAAAACGGCCTTGTGCCACATCCTGCCTCGCGGTGCAGTGAGGTAAATAACCTTGCTTCGGCAACTAGTTGGTGATTCGTCTCCAGCTAAGCTGGTCGAACTGTCGGCCTTCGGGCGGAGTGGAACCCAGACGTGGTTATGCTGAAGGGCAGAGTCTCGTTTGGGGTGGTAGACAGCTACACGACCCCGTATCTACGGGGTCTACGGGGAATTTTTGCCCTAGCCTACGGGCTCCGTTTTGCCCCGCATTAAAAATCGCCCTTGTGTCTCATCCTGCTTCGCAGGGAGGTAAGGTAAATATCCATGTTTCGGGAATTACTAGCCTGCCACCCGATTTACTGTCTTTCAGTAGTGTATTCTCTTTTACAATAAACCTCTCTTTCTTTCATCTACGCGCGTGTTGCTGTTCTTTCACTAGAGTACCACCTTTGTCTGTTTGTAACCTCTTTAAGGATACAACAATTTTCAAAGCAAAATTACTCAAATGGACGCGTGTGCGTGCATGCGTCTTGTGTAATCAATACATTTGCAAAGCACAAATACTCAGATGGACGCTATTCCTGCAAGTATTGAGTAATCAGTTCGTTTTCAATTAATTATTTAATCAGTTCAAAAACCTAACTTTTTTATCCTGTGTTTTTTTTGGGTTTTTTTTTTTGTCCCGTGGAAATATGATTTCTAAAAGATGTGTCATTTTTTCCATTATATATCAACTAATAAATCATTTGCTTATTGTGTGATTTTTATTTCCACAGATGCTCAGTTTGCTAGAGCACATGTACCACGAAATAGGCCTCGTAGACGAGTTTAATATCAACCCGATCACACTAAAGCGATGGCTGGTATGTATAAACACAACAGTATGTATGCATATTTATATATGTACTGTATATTTCCGCGTCGAAGGCGACTTTTAAATCTTAAATATTACCCCCCCCCCGACACAAACACACACCAAATAGGGAGTCATTTAATACAACAGTTACAAAAAGCAAACCTTAAATCTTGTGGTCTATCGGTGCTGGTAAGTAGGCTAGTATGCTTGCATCATGGAACGCAGTAGGTGAACAGCTCGGTATGCTAACTATCGATGTAGATATTTCTACTTGAAACAATTCACATTATAATGCTGTATGTAATGACAAAAGTACGCAGGTGTAGGCTTTAAGAAATATTTATTCAAATGAGAATACAATGTTCACCTATAGTGTCCCTTTATAGTACCAGTAAATAGAAATAGGTCTCTCAAAGAGGAGAGTAACAAAACAAGGGGAGACCACTCCTGATTATTCCTAAGACTGTACTATAGTTATAAATACAGTTATAAATAAAACTACTTTTACGTCTTGATTTCAAATTAAATTGTAATAGTCAAGAGACGATTACACAACAATTTGCAAAAGCACCGCCCAACAACACGCACAAGTAACAAGTAACGTCAAAAAAATCTTTCGTTCTTAATTTTTAGCGCTATGGGTACGTTCACATCCATTATTATTTCTCATAGTAATGTGTCATGGGTCCTTACCTATAACTACAGAATTAACTCTTCCTAACACTATGTATACTACGCCTCTCAAGAGAGAGGGTCGAATTGAGCCGAGCCGTTTCGGCTTGACGGTCGAACTCTCTGCCTCTGAGCAGAGAGGAACCCGGACGAGGCTCCGCCGAAGGGCAGAGTCTCGTTCGGGGAGGTTGAGCAACCCGATCCCGTTTATACGGGTTCTACGGGCATTTTTTTGGCCGAACCTACGGGCTCGGGAAACCCACGTTAAACTCGGCCTTGTGCGCTACATGCAACCCTCGTGGAGGGTGGCTAGATACCGAATCAAACCGAGCTTCTCGGCTTGACGGTCGAACTCTCTGCCTCTGAGCAGAGAGGGAACCCGGACGAGGCTCCGCCGAAGGGCAGAGTCTCGTTCAGGGGAGGTTGAGCAACCCGATCCCGTTTATACGGGTTCTACGGGCATTTTTTGGCCAAGCCTACGGGCTCGGGAAACCCACGTTAAACTCGGCCTTGTGCCACATGCAACCCTCGTGGTGGGGGGGCCAGATACCGAATCAAAACGAGCTTGTCGGCTTGACGGTCGAACTCTCTGCCTCTGAGCAGAGAGGAACCCGGACGAGGCTCCGCCGAAGGGCAGAGTCTCGTTCGGGGAGGTTGACCAACCCGATCCCGTTTATACGGGTTCTACGGGCATTTTTTGGCCGAGCCTACGGGCTCGGGAAACCCACGTTAAACTCGGCCTTGTGCCACATGCAACCCTCGTGGGAGGGTGGCTAGATACCGAATCAAACCGAGCTTCTCGGCTTGACGGTCGAACTCTCTGCCTCTGAGCAGAGAGGAACCCGGACGAGGCTCCGCCGAAGGGGAAGTGTCTCGTTCGGGGAGGTTGATCAACCCGATCCCGTTTATACGGGTTCTACGGGCATTTTTTGGCCAAACCTACGGGCTCGGAAAACCCACGTTAAACTCGGCCTTGTGCCATATGCAATCCTCGTTGGGCTAGATATCGAATCGAGTCGAGCCGATAGTAGTTCACTCCAAACCAGACTCGCAGTCATACTAACACCTTCCACATCTTGTATTATTATTTCGTGTAATATACCTTCGTTATTTCTACTCTTGTGTTCGTGTTGTTCTTCCTTGGTCCTAAACTGGACCATAACATAATGTCAAATAACGACATTTAGGTTAACATACAATCTATATTTCTAATTAGAATCCATTATAACTGTGGTGTTAAATAACAACAACGTTTAGTATAAGATGCAAACTTTTTTTTTAAATGACATACATTATACAATAGTTTTTGTAGTGTTAAGCAACAGAACATTTAAGATGCCATAAAATCATTATTTCTCATTACAGAATATTAAAAAAGAATAAGACCCCCACATAATTAAAATTACTCTGATCATCATCATCTGATGAAAAAAGCTCATCATAAACATCGTCACTTACAGTTTCGTCCTATAACTCCCAGTCGATCGTGTTATACTTCGGATATCAGATAAAACCAAGAAAATCTTTTCTGTCTCGTCTTATCTATAGGTCGCTTTATAGATAGAACTATACGATATGTATGTATGTATGCATGTATGTATATTGGCTATTCGATGGCAAATATACGTGAGTATAGTTGAGACCCCAGATGGTTATCGGTCTACTAGTATGGAGTCTGAGATATTTTAGAACTGTTTGCATTAGAATGGTCCCGTGGCCAGGATAGAAAAAGATAGGATCACTAAGCAGTCTCTAGATGGTTAACTTTTTTTTAATCATTTCGCTCCAAGCAAGGCAATAACTCCGCTAAGCTTCAAGGAGGTAATGAGGGTTAGAGAATATGAGAAAAAAAAAACACACTATTCAGGGGAGAGAGGAATAAAAGAAGAGTGAGAATAACGAGTGACAGTGCTTTTAAAGGTCAAAGTTGACTGGGAAGAGATTTTGAGAGGCGAGAAAAGAGGCGGTTAGAATGAAACATAAGGTTACGTCTATCTGTTTGAACTGTAATATAATGAGAGCTTACCGTCAATCTCGTAATGCGCTTAAATTCATAAAATCTAAGTACCATAGAGGAAAAGTCATCAGAACAATTGATATGAACATATCTGCTTATATTTAGGAGATGAGGTATTATATACACTATTTTCATTGTTTGAACTATCATCCTCATCTTTGTTGCCATATTTATCACAACGTTTCGGCCGTTGTACGCTCCGACATTCTTCAGGTGGTTTGAATGTCGAACTTTATTTCGCTCGCTGGAGTAGACTGTTCTAGTTCCACGGGCCGGATGTCATCAGTTATCTCCTGTTAATTCCCCTATCCAAGTTCTCCACCGCCTTAAACAGGTATTGAAGTCATACTCTTTTTGTGTCCTGTCACTTGATCTAATTAATACCTTTATCCTCTGTGTCATGTGACCTTCAGAATATGGACTTAATTATAAAAAAGGCACAAGGAAGATACATTACGGCGGTGGGAAAGAGATTGAGTCAGGGCCAATAAAACTGCGGATTCTTCTTTGTAATATATAGCAGGAGCACCAGACCATATGTGGCAGCAATATTCAAAGCAAGAACAAATGATAGACTAAATATGTGTGAAATAGATTCTGGCGAGTTGGCTGAAGGAAAAGCATCAACACACATACCGAAATTGAGTTATGATTATTGCATCAAGAACACATTACAGAAGGTTAACATTATACACAATGGATGGAAACCCTAGCACTTAATCATTGATTCCAGAAGAAAACTGTTGTAGCATACCTAGGAACGGTAATGGGTATGACCCCATTCACATAAATACGATAGTAAATACTGTATGTTGGTCTGCAGTTGGAGATTCGTCTCCAGCTGTGCTGGTCAAACTCTCTGCCTCCGAGCAGAGAGGATCCCCGGACGAGGCTATATTTGGGTGACAGAGTCTCGTCTCGAGAAACAGCTACCCAACCCCGTTTTATACATGGTCTACGGGGAATTTTTGGCCGAGCCTACAGGCTCGGATACACCACATTAAATCCGGCCTTGTGCCACATTAGACCGCGTGGGGTGGTTGGTAGATATCCTGCTGATGAAATTTCGTCTCCAGCCGTGCTGGTCAAACTATCTGCCTCCGCGCAGAGATGATCCCAAAACGAGGTTATGTCGAAGGGCAGAATCTCATCTCGGGAAACAGCTACCCGACCCCATTTTATACAAAGTCAACGGGGAATTTTTGGCCGAGTCTACGTGCTCTGATACTCCACATTAAATTCAGCCTTGTTCTATATCTGACCGCGCGGGACGTTTAGTAAATATCCTGCAGTTGGAGATTCCTTGTGGAATTCACTTGACTCACTCCTAGTAGTTGACTACGTCTTCTAGGCGCCGCTGGCGAATCTTATATGTGTTGTTCTTGTTCTAAGTATAATCGTTCATTACCGAACTTCGTGTGATTATTATAGCGAAGAGCTCATCCGAACAATTCCTCACTATTTAATATCTTATCGTTTTTATCTTGAAAATTACGCAACGGCAATTTTGTAATTTTTTTTCTTTTTTTTTAATATGATGATAATAAACAATTATATTTTCTAAGAGGCGAAATGAAATTCATTTAAAGTACTGTTTAGGACTGTTTCAAGTGAAAATAGTCTTAAGTAAATTGTTCGAAATTAGAAATGATGCGTTGTCATTATTATTAAATTTTTGAATAGTTTTCCTAATAGTACTTCTTACTAATTGAATACGAGGGAATTAGGATGATCGGTCTCCATGTATCTGTCATGGCTGGCCCCAGCTGAAAAAGGTCAGACCTTGTCGAAACAGGGAATTTCGCCTGCCATGAAGAACACCTATGCATCATAATCTCTTCGGGGATGGTGGAACTTTGGTTTTGGATATATTGAATATTACAAGCCAGTCCATCCTCCGCCCAAACTAGCAACCAGGTATAGGTCAGAGGTGAGTTCACTTGCTAGATTCTGGTCGTCCAGATTTTTGGAGGCGCACCTATAAACAGCTGAATCATCCGAATTGATATTCACTGAAGATCAGAATACGTTCTTATACAGATCATTAACAGATAGTAGGTAAGACCGAGGAAAGAACTCTGCGGGTTGCCGGCATTGATCAATATAACAGCGACCTTTATGGACCTTTTTGAATTCTGTGTAGTCTTTGCCTAGATTCCTTTTCTTTATTATCTGTGAATTGCCATGCCTTCTTGGGAAAATATTCGATTGGTTTCCAGTTGCATCCTCAATGTCTTAGAATTATTCTCTATGATTTTCTTTATTTTCTGAAATATCACTATGGCGTCTTGGGAAAGATAGCAGAGTAGTTTCCTGTTGCTTTCTTCTTCTTTTTTTGAATTCAAATACATTGTCTTTATTATCTGTGAATTGCCATAACTTCTTAAGAAAGATAGTGTAGTTGTTTCTCGTTGCCTTCATTATAATTAGATATTCGGCGCAGTGCTTCTCCAACATTCTTTTTTCTTTATTTTTTAGACGTATTAACCTCAAATTAGAACTTGTGTGAAACTTTGTCATCAGTGCTGATTCCTTGTTTAACATTTTTCTTCATATTTAGAGATGGATAGGCGTGTGGTGTAAGGAATATTGGCTCGGAATTAGTAACCGGAGAGCCGAGTTCGAATTCCAGTCGCCTTCGTTATATTCAGTTGCGTTCAAATACCCTTGCAAAAGGTATAAATGCATCTCTTGTCTGCTAGCTAAGTGTTAAATAGTGTAATTACGAAGACAACACAACCAAGAAATATAATATCGCTTGGAGCCGACGTAGTCGTACTGAAATCGGTAGTAAGCAGATAAGCTAGACCTCTGCTGGGTCTCTTTTTATGGAGTATTCTGCAAAATGAAATTCAGCTATTTTTCATGTTCAGCGGGGCACAATTTTCGTAATAGAAAAGATATTTTCTTTTCATCGGACCATCCTTGACATTCTTCTCTGAAAATGGCTTCGTACCTTCAGAAGTACGATAGGAATGTAATGCTTTCTTCTAGGACGTAACTGAATCCACTAATTGGGGTAGCGATTGAATCCGGCGAAAATGAATATGCAAAGGAAACTGACACATTGTCTGTTCATTGCTTTTCCAGGATTGCTTTTATCTGTTCTTGATATTCAATCAACTCCAGTTGAATTTTTTGTAATACTTGTTGAATAAGTATCTTCAATTTTTCCATAGTGTATTATGTTCGTACAAGTAGTCCTTAAATATAAAGAATTTTTTCCTTATAGCAGTATATCATACAGCCTTGAAGTTTATCGATATCCGTGTTAGGCTACAAATATACACGAACTCCACAAAATTATTTTCTGTGAATTTTGAATGTTCATTAACAGTTATTTATGCTAAGCACGAGAGAAAAATATCGGGTTATTTCGAATCCTCGTCGCCATTGTCTTTATCCCGTTGAATGAAGATAACACAATCAAGACATATAATGTAGTTTCGAGTCGACATTGTCTTACTGAAATCTGTAGTAAGCATATAGGCAAGATATCTCTCTTTCCTGACGATTCTCGGTATATATATATATATATATATATATATATATATATATATATACTATTTGGACAAGTTTACATCATATTCTGGAGAGGCGCGTTCATCTCATGTCAGTAAGTGATTATATTTATTCTCTAAAAGTAGTTAATACGATATCCATTTGCCAAAATGAAGAATTCTTCTTACAATCCCAGAAATATGCTTTATATTTAGATGACCCACAAGGGGGTGGATAAAACCGTAAAAATCAAATCAGTCAACTTATTTTGGGATGCTTAGCTTTAATGTATTGATATTCAGACTGAGCAATGGTTATTGGCACCGAATATGGAATGAGCGAAACAGGATCAAAAAACCGATTAGTCTGTTGTGCCCACTTCGCAATATTTTGGTAAAAAACAAAAATGCATCGCTTCTCTCTCCAGCAATCTCCCGTTCAACAATCATCCTCATTCTTTTGAACACGAGTAGAACTTTATTCCTTGTTTCCTGTTTAGGATTTGGTTTCTGGTTCCTTCCAGTCTTTTTATCTCTTTCACTCCCAGTAGCTCCTTGCGTATTAGTGACGTTCTCGCATTGTTTGAGGTGAATTGATTAACATAATGGTAGTTGGTGGGGAGTCATGATTCTGTAGACTTGATTTGCAGCCACTCTCAGAAAAGTCATACTTGGGATTACAATCCGTGAAAAAGGCAGTGGGAAAATCAATCCCCTCTCAAGAAGTCATGGAAATCAACAAGATAAATAAATTTGGGAAAACTATTCTCAATTCAAAACCATGGCGAATACAATTGGAAACTATTACCTTATCTTTCTAAAGACGTCTTGGCATTTCATAGATAATAAAGGAAATGAACCTAAAGGAAGGACTACTCTGAATTTAGAACTGCGGAAAAGTCAACGGGAAATCACTCCACCCTATTTTCAATGAAATCATGGCAATTCGCAGATTATAAAGAAATGTATCTAGGAGAAAGACTATTTTGATTTTTAAAAAGGGGCAAGAGGGAAGCACTCTGCTATCTTTCCCCGAACGTCATGAAAATTCTTCAGATAATAAATCTCAGAGCATAATTCCAAGCCGTAGAGAAGGCAATGAGAAACCACTTCACTATTTTTTCGCAATTAGTCATGGCAATTCACAGATAAAAAAAAATGTCACAGTTATGTGTCATGAGTGATACATGCTTAAGCGATCATGTATCTTTCAGAGGCAGATTTTTTCGTC